CGCGTGGAAAAGGGCCTCAAACCCATGGCTTTCGGCAGCGACGAGCTGGCGCAAGAGCACAAAGAGCGCTTCCAAGGCGGGGCCCTGAAGCAGGGCGCTCGCAGACAAGAGCAGCGCGTTGGGCAACACCTTGGTCACGACCACAGCGTCCGAGGCTGCCGACGGCGACGTCGTAAGAATGGCCGAGACGAGCGTCAACGAGAGCTGGCTCAGTTGCAAGTCCGAGTCCGAAATCAAGGCCGACGCTTCTTGAATCGTGTCACAGAGGCTCGCAGCAGCCACCGACGCACCCTTGCTTTGAACCAAGGCGATGAGCGTATCCAACGCCGTCTGCTTGAGCGTGCGCGACTGCTGGCGCAAAAGCTGCGAGAGGCAGACAATGGCGTCCGTCAATATGATCGAGAGGTCCAGCGGCAGCGGCGAGCGGGCGATCGTCGACAACGACTTCATGGCAGCAATGCGAGTGATTTCGTTTTGCATGCGCTCGAGAATCATGGGCAGCACCGCGTTGAGGTCGTCACTGCTCAGATGATCGCCTATAAAACATCAGAAATATGAAGCCAATCGTCAAGCATAGGGTTTACCGATCGTGGAGATGATAAGGCCCATGCTCGCGATAGCGCCATCCTTGATCTCTTGATCAATGTCGTACGCCTTGAGGCGCGGGAGCACCGCGTTGAAGAGGGGCTGTACAAAGACCGCCATGTCTTGGGCCAACACCGCGCCAGTCGATGGACGGATAACGTGCACGATCGTGCCAACGAGGGAGAGCGACTTGGCAACAATTTTGTACCACTCGTCGTTGGCATTGGCGACAGCCAAATGAACAATCGCCTTCATGTGCTTTGTGAAGAGCGACGGCTCGTGGGTGGCCATGAGCTGGCGCAAAAAGATGAGTGCGTCGAGTTTGAGGCTCGAGTTGCGGTCCTCGAGGGCCTTCAAAATGTTCGGCATCAACGAGTCCATGAAGGGACCCAACTGGCCTTCTTCCACCTGGGCGAGCTCGCGCAGCATACCGAAGACGGCGCATCGCGTGGCCACCGAAATTTTGGGGCCAAGCTGCTTGTTCGCGGCGCCCAAGATCGTACCAACACGCGTGTGGAGCTGGCCACCGCACGAGCGCTGGCGGACAAGCGCGGGATGGCCACCAGCTTCGGGGTTGCCCGAGCTCACGGGCGCCAAATGCACAAGCGTGACGCGCAGGAGGTCCGAGAAGACCGAGAAAACGTCGATGCGGACGCTCTCTTCCCGCTCCTTGAAACGCGAGACAAGCGGCTCGCTGCATTCGGCGTAGATGTCGTCGAGGAGCTCCGGGCGCGTGGTGATAACGGCCGACATGACGCGAAGCGCAGCACGGCGCACCTTCCAGCTCGCGTCATCGTCGTCGCTGTAATCATTGTCCTCGGGTTCGCTGTACTGCTCTTCATCGTCCATGTCCTCGTCCATGTCTTCGTTCTCCGAGTCATACATGTAGTTCGGGTCGTACTTCGTGAACTTCATGGCCGTGGCAATGATGTTCTTGACGTGTACCGTGATCTCCGCGTGGCAGCGCAGCAAGAACGACTCTAGGCCCTGGAAGCAATTCTCGCGAAGCTCGTTCGAGACGTCGTTTTGCATCGATTCGTCGTCTGGGGAGCCGCAAAACGTCAAGAAGAGCGGGACAATCACGGGGAGATGACGGCCGAGACGATGTCCCACCGAGCGCGAGAGCGTACCGATCGTCTGGATCAGCGTGCGCTTGTCCGCTTCGTGGTTGTTTTCGACGCTTTGGAGCAAGTGTTCGACCAAACGGTGCAGAAGAGCGTCGGCTGCGACAACACCCAGCGCACCAAGGCACGACGTCACGCGCTTGCGCACAAAGGCTCGTTCATCGCTGAGCTCCTTTAGAAGAAGGTCCATGATGGCCACATGCTCGGACTGGAAGTCGGCGCCGAAGCGCTTCAAGAGTTCCGTCAAGATGTCCAGCGTCTCCGACTTGATGGCCTGGTCTGCGTAATGCGAGATACCGTTGAGGAGGCGACCGCAGAGCGCCGTCGAGATCGACGCACCAGTCTTCTGCGAAACGTCCGTCAAGATGGTCTTGAGGCCGATCGAGTAGATGTCACGGAGCTCGGGCTTGCCCGTAAAGATCAAGTCGCAAAGCTTCTCGCAGATGTCGCCAACTTGCTTCTCCTGGACCTTCGTCACAAGGATACCCAAACTACAAGGCGCATGAGTCCATGAGCACGCAATTTCAAGGCGCGTACCATTTCACAGCGATCGACTGCACGTCGTTGGACTTATCATCCAGCTGCTTGAGGACCGCAGCGCAGATCCTACGCTTCATGAGCATCGACAAGCTACGTGGAGAAAGGTGCGTACTTGCGCTCAAGGTCCGGGCCAAGCTCAATGTCGTTCTGGAGCTCGTTGCAGAGGTCCGAGGTCGCCATGTAGCGCTCATCCTTGTCGAAGTCCGTCGTCTACCTCGGTGCGTGAGCCTCATGTAGGATGGAAGGGAGGGGCTCCATGCAGGGGTGTCTTTTCCGCAGGGAGATGGACGAGGAAGCGGACCTTTTCCAAGAGCGCGGTGAAGACGGTCGTGCCACGCATCCTTCGGGGCCGGCGATTTTGGGAAATGGAGACAAGGATCCGGGTTGTGAAATCCTAGTCCTAAACGAGGACTCAAAGTGTGGTGGGGACAAGCTTGCCTTTTTCTGAGTGAAGGTCGGCTGCAATGCCTAATTAGGCACAGCACCGATGTGCAAGGACCTGCCACAACGTATACTTGCCTCGGTATCCAAATATAGAGGTTATTGCGCTAGTCGCCAACGGCTAGGGCGGTGCGACGATGGGTTGGCAAACTCCGTCTCGCTACTGTACGAGGGAACGGCGAT